ATGGCCATTTCTCCCTGCTCTTTGTTTTCTATGAACCCCATCATGCTGGTCAAATTGTGTTTCCTCAGGAGTTTCTAGAAACAGAGAAGCTGTAACCAATAACAAACCACAAAATATTGATTCTCTCAGCTGTCCCCATCTCTATTTCTCACTCTCTCTGGGTATATGAAGGTATGTGAGAGTATTATACTGTCATAGGATAGAACTGTATTATGCATATAGTATATAGGATGATGGATTAATCAATTGATTAATTAAATAGTTATTGAATTCCAGAACATTGGCAAGGGACAAAAAATATAACTATAAATATGAATAAGATCTGTGCCGTTCATTCTTGGAACTCACATGCTAATTAGGAAAGCTGTAAGGTAAACCACTAATTATAGGCAACATGAGAGGAGCTTTAACAGGGAACATGCAAGGCACTGTGCACATATGCAGTGTTTAGAGGTACAGGTTCTAACACCTGTAATAGAAAACCCAAGATTAAAGGTATCGTTCGATAATACCTATACCACAAACATATTGGTAAGTCTGTTTTGTTATACAGGTGACTGGAGATATGTCAATAGGCTGTTGTGTGATGCTGATAAGTTCAGACTGCACTGTGTGCTTTCAATTTTTATTCATATTTAGTTTTTAGATCTTTCAGTGCCTTCAAATCATTTCAAGCTTCATTGTTATTCAGACACTCACTGTAAAATGAAATTTTAGATCATAAAATGTCCTTGAAAATAGAAACTTCTTACTATGATACTAATGTTTTACTTTCCAGTCTTAAAATATTATCGTTTTTAATTTACATTTCTCATGTATACTCATTTAATAACCAACTTTAAATTCAGTAATCACATTTTCCCCTAAGCTTTGATTAGAACAATTATAGGGAATGAAAATAAGAAAGTAATTTCTGTAAAGAGATCCATAAAGCATCCTTTTCAAGCCATAAAAGCAGCCTTCAAAGTAGGTTTTTGTTTGTTTTTTTCAGCATTAGGGGTACAAACAAATTCTTTCCATTATGCTTAAGATACACAGATCCAAAACTCTCCCACTGTCTGCTCATCTTCTTTGTCTTGGTCTCCCCTAGTGCTATGAGTCCCAGCAGAAGATTCAGCATAAAAAAGGTGCCCAATAAGTGCTGCTGAATATCTGTCTGGCCTTCTTAGCTAGATTAAGAAGGTACCTAGAAGCATCAGTAGGAAGTCCCCTACAAAATAGAAACCAACAACTGAATTTTTATACCTACCCCAATTTTTCTTTAGCCTAAACTCTCTAGGCCAGTGATGGTGAACCTATGACACACGTGTCAGAGGTGACACACGAACTCATTTTTTTGGTTGGATTTTCTTTGTTAAATGGCATTTAAATATATAAAATAAATATCAAAAATATAAATCTTTGTTTTACTATGGTTGCAAATATCAAAAAATTTCTATATGTGACACGGCACCAGAGTTAAGTTAGGGTTTTTCAAAATGCTGACACGCCGAGCTCAAAAGGTTCGCCATCACTGCTCTAGGCCAATGTTTATTGCTGGTTTGCCTTATACAATAAGAATGAACATCGGCCCACACCTAAGGGAAATCACCATGAAAATGGCCACACCAACTTATGCTATAAACTGACTGGTAGCACATGGCTGACTATTTTCTGTCATCTCACTACATTAAACCCTGAAGATAATATTCCCATAATTTCCTCACTCTGGCATGCTGAATGTTGTGTTTTTTAAATGCTAATAAAATGTATAAGGGAAAAAATAAAGGCTACAAGCACTGTGATTAGCAGAGTTGTTTTTTTTTTATCACATCTTTAACCCATTGACGTAAAACCAAGCCAAAGCATGAGATGTGTTTCACAAAGGCCCATAGACTCTGAATGGGTCTCTAGAATTCTGTTAGGGTGGGAGACAATACAATTTTTTTGCATGTGTGGATCCCTCTAACTCAGATTCTCCTCTGCGGAAGTGGAAAGATTGAGGAAGTAGGCTTTCACTTCTTATATCTTTACTAGAGGCTTGGTGCACGAGATTTGTGCACTGGGGGTGGGGGGGGGGGTGGTCCCTCAGTCCAGCCTGCACCCTCTCACAGTCCAGGATCCCTAAGCCAGCAGTCAGACATCCCTCTCACAGTCCGGGGCTCTTGCAGTCTGGGACCCCTCGCTCCTTACCACCCACCTGCAGCAGACTCAGAAGAGGCTCCCACCACTGCCGCTGCACTCGCCAGCTGTGAGTCCAGCTTCTGGCTGAGTGGCGCTCCCCCTGTGTATGTGCACTGACCACCAGGGGGCAGCTCCTGCATTGAGCGTCTGCCCCCTGGTGGTCAGTGCACATCATAGCGACTGGTCATTCCACTGTTTAGTCAATTTGCATATTAGGCTTTTATTATATAGGATTCTTTCATCCTCAATTTCTCAGATTTCCCACACACACCTACATTCAGACATATCACTCATACTCGCACAGTCTGTCACACTCACACACAAGTAAGATAGAATATAAAGTTTGTCACAAGCAATGAAGACCCTAAATCACTATTCCTTACAGGAGATAGAAGTTTGTTACTCTCTCAGATTACAATCTGAATGTGGGCAAATCGAGTTCTGCCCCACAAAACAGAGCTTCCCTCTTATTACTTTGCCTTGTGTGACCTCCATCCCCAGGGGCATTACTCCAGCCACCTGATCTGAGGCCAGCCAGCAGGAAGGGTAAAGGCAGAAAAATGGAGAAAGGACCAGGATCAGAGCATCTGTCCTTTAAGGAAGTTCCTCAGAGCTTCCATACAGCACTTCTACTTAATTCCCCTTGCCCTGAACCTAATAACATGACCATACTCAGCTACAATGAAAACTCAGAAATGCCACTTTGATTTTTCAAACTTTGTTCCCAACTGAAATATTTATGTGTTATTACTTGGAAGAGAGGGGCTAATGAACATTGGCAGACAACTAGCAAGCTGCCATGGGCTTGCTCCCTCCTCTCCCTGCCATGATGTAGTGTGTGGGATCTCATTCTCGGAAGATTCAGGGAAGATTTCCTTTCCTTGTTCTACCCGCCCTACACTACCTTCCTCTCCACCACTTCATCCACAAAGATCCTTATTCTTCTGTATACAAACACATTCCTGCTCAAAGAAGAAGGGAGGGGAGCAATTAGTGAAGGGCAGACCAACTGACACTATTTAAGCTACTGAGTAGTCTCCCCCCCTCATCTGCGGTTCTGATTTTCATGGTTTCAGCTATCCTAGCCACAATCTGAAAAGATGAAATGAAAAATTCCAAAGATAAACAATTCATAAGTTTTATTTATTTTTTTATGTTTTTACTGATTTGAGAGGGAGAGAGTCAGAGAGAGAAAGAGAAACATCTATCCCTGACCCAGAATCGACCTCTCTGTGCACAGGATGATGTTCAACCAACTGATCCACACCTGCCAGGGCAACAATTCATAAGTTTTAAATTGCACACCCTTCTGAATAGTGTGATGAAATCCCACACTGTCTCTCTCTCTGAACAGGACATGAACCATTCCTTTGTTCATCATATCCATGGTGTACATGCTAGCCACCCATTGGTCACTCAGTGGCCCTGTGTGTTATCAGATCAACTGTCACAGTATCACAGTACTTGTGTGCAAGTCACCCTCATTGTATTTAATAGTGGCCCCAAAGCTCAAGAGTAGTGATGCTGTCATTTGGATATGCTAAAGAGAAGCAGAACGTGGTTCCTTTAAGTGAAAAATTATGTATCTATGTACAAAAAAACCCCAGTATATTTAGGGTTCAGGCCTATCCTCGGTTTCAGCATTCACTGGGGGGTCTTGGAATGTAATCCCACAGATAAGAAGGGACTACTCTACTACAAAGTTGAATAGGAGAGTCTGAGCCAAATTCTAATCCTCAGCTCCTGTGTTTGCTATCTAAATGGAGAACACAGTCAGTTTTAATTGCACACAAATCTCCTGTTTGATCCTGAGCACTAGAATAGGGTTTTCATTTGCTGGTAAGTGGATGTTGGCATTTTTCCCAAAAGAAGCTAACCTTTAGTGATAGTTACAGTATTATCTCATTCAGGTCCGGAACAAATATTCTCTAGAGAGACACCAACCTCTGTGGGCAGCAGAATCAGTCATTTAAATACAAATTTAAGCTGCAAACATAGCCCTCATTATCTAGGCAGTTGTTCTCACACTTCACAAAGCACCAGCGGTATCTTTGAAATCTCTAGTTTCAAAGAAGGGAGCAAAGCACACAGAGCCCACCCACGCCCACACACATACCCATTCCGCCTTACTTTATAGATCGGGCTTCTAGGTGAGGCATTGTTTTAAAATAGGGTTTTAAACACTTGGTCTCATCATTCCCAGCCTGAATTCTATTTCTTGTGGATTTTTTTTTTCTTGCGGACCTTATAGCCTTGAAGTTCCTTGGCCTTTGAGGAGTTGCTGATGAAGAAGGGTAAAAAGAGAAGGGACATATGGGAACACTCTTGCTGACTTGTCATCATGACATATTTTTACCAAACTTATTTAACTTATTTGGAAACATCACGATGATGCTTGCAAAATAGATCCCCAGTATGTCTTGATTCGTGAGATTATACTCCCAAGTCTTTTTGTCTCCCTGGCAGTCACAACCTATCTGTATGATGTAAATTATTTTTTAAGTGATGTAAATTTTGCTTTCTAATTCTGAAGACATTTTTATTGTGTGAATATACATGTTGCCTGAATATTTGATCGAGGTCAACATACCCAGGAAATGATGACCCCCTGGACAAGACATGGTGAGTTTGCGTAGCACAGCCCCACGGCAACTTTATTGTTATCAGAGTCCTCTCAGCAGCCCACTCGTCTGTCAGCCATTCCATGGCGACAAAATAGAAGAGTGACAGCACTTGTAATCTTCTTGTTCATTACAAAGCGCAATCTTTTCTTTCTGCTAGCTCAGCTACTGAAGTCACAAAACCACATCTCTAAAGGAATCGGGAAGGGATCCATGCTAAATAAAATACTCCAGGAATTTATTTCTCTCCGCATCTGTGTCTTCATGTTCCAGCTCATATTTCTTCATGGCAACAAAATACCGAATGAAAGTTTCTCCGAGAGCCTGTCGCAGACATGGGTCTTCCTCCAGCGCCACGAGGGCATCTTCCAGCTTCAAAGGGATCTCAGGAGGCTTTGACGGGTAAGGCTCAGGGCTGTCATCATCCTCGGGGACAGGCAGGGCACCATCGCGGCTTTGAAGTCCGTCCAGACCTGCTGCCACCGTGGCGGCCAACACCAGGTAAGGATTGGCCGTGGCTGAGCCCAGTGTGTTTTCTACCCGGGCGCCCTTCTCCCCGTGACACTTGATATTAAAGGCACAGCTGTTGTCATTGTAGCCCCACGTGGTGGGCACGCTCTCCTGCTGCTCTTTGCTCTCCTTGGAGTAGCGTTTCCGGCAGCTGCGGGCAGGAGCCAGCAGGCAGCTGAGCGCGGCCGCGTGTTTCAAGAGTCCGGCCACCCATCGCCTCCCGGTGGCGGAGAGCGGCGGCCCGGGGCCGGGGCCGGGGCTGCTGCAGAACAGATTGGTCTCCCCTCCCACATCCCAGAGACTGTGAGACAAGATTCCTGAATGGCAGAAGCCAGTCTCGATGAAAAAGCTGGTGATGTAATTGTATTTCCGGGCCACTTCTCTGACGCCTGCTCGGAGGGTGAACGCGTTGTCGGCTGAACCGATGCCAAATTCGGGCAGCAGACAGATTTCCACCTGCCCCGGCCTGGTGGAGGAGGAGAAGCTCTCCACATGGGCTCCGGTGTGGCACAAACCATCGACCAGCTCCTGGATGAAGGGCTGGTCGTGGTTGCTGAACAAGGTTGCAGCCGGGAAGGAGATGGTCTTGGAATTGATCACTTCGGGCGCCCCGAAGACGCAGAAGTCGTAGAGGAAAGCAGAGAGCAGGGAGAAGCCCGCGCCCTGCAGCTGGCTCAGCTGCCGCTTGGCGATGTACCGCGGGGACGTCAACAAGGGCTCGCCCGTCACCGTGAATGTGTCGCAGATCACTCTCGCCGTCCTCTCCGCCCATGGCAGCGCCCGAAAGGTGGCCAGCTCGGGCATCAGGACGATGTCGCTGTTAAAACATGTGGCTCTTATGTGATCCACTTCGTGGCCCTTAGGACTCGGCATCAATTCGAGATAACCTCGGGGCATGAAAACACCGTGGGCCACTTTTTCCTAAAGTTAAAGGATAGAGCAATCAAGGTTTTGAAACTTGAAAGCAAACATAAATGGGGAAGGGAGGGGTGATGGAGGGGGAAAAAATGTGTTTAACATCTATTAGTTAACATTAACTTAATTTTAATTTTTGGGAGAAATCCCCAATGGCACTTTCATAAACAACTCATTATTTTTAGCCTTGAAAGGCTCCATAGGCTCTGGAATCTGAAAATAGCCGTCATAAGTAAAAGATATGCTGATTAGGAAAATGCCTTTAGAGCAAATGACAAAGGTCAAGTAAAGCCTTATGGAATTATTTGAAATGGTCGTGACCAAAAGTACTTTCCAAAGCTCTTTTATATAATGGCATAGTTCCTAACACTTCGGATAAGGCTTGCTTTTGGCTTGTCCTATTGTAATCCCCATGGTTAACTGCCTCTCAGAAGTCTACAGTAGAGAATTGGAAGTCCTTCTTAGAGAGCTGAGTGTAGTCATCTGAGAAGCCAGGTCTGCTGACAGCTTCACTCCTCTCTTCATTCACTTTGACATCCCACTAAGAATGAGCCACCTCACAGTCGCACAGAGTCCCAGAAGCCTTGCCTGTGAATGTGGACCTGTATCTCCACGGTTAACGCTTCCAAAATGTTGTAGCTTTCAAGTCAGCGTGAACTGGGGCTCACCAAATCTGATTCTAGTCCTGGCTCTTCCACTAATTATTTGTGTGAAGTTAGGCAACTCGGACTATGTACCTCGGCATCCATGTCTATGAAACAGAAGCTAGACTAGGTGATAGCTGAGGCACTTTTTAGCCCTATACCCTCTTGGGGTCCATGGATTTGGACATTTATTTAACTTTTGCTAGGTGCCAAACAACAGGAAAGCGATGAAGTTATAAAGTCACACAGACACACACAAAAACCCAATTTCTAGAAATGGTGTAATAGGAATATCCACAAGGCTTCATGTGTGGAAGTTTACATTAATGGACAGAGGAAAAAGCCGACTAGAAAGTGTGGTTCCCATGATGTCAGTGAGCCTTTTGAGGTTAATAAAACGTACTGCCATTCTGCAAGCCAGATTGTTTCCTATATTACCTCCAAACCCCAAGAGCATGGCTACCAAGGAGGTGCTGGTGCTAGCAGACACAATCTACTACCCCACTCTTCTGCCTTTGATTGTGAGCCGCTGCCTCCTTCACTCTCCACTGTCTCTGCACATACTTTCAAATGCCACTTGACTTGGCTGACCCAAATCTGCTCTTAGCAGTAATAACGTTGAGTAAGGTGAGCACTACTCCTTTGCTGCCTAATTTTTTAAGTCATTCATAGACTTGCCTATGTACACTTGACACACAAGCACACATTATGGGATTTTAGAGTACTTTAGTACAAAATCCTTTCATTCAAATTTTCGCTGTAAGAAGTAATGTGATTTCCCGAACTTGTCAATTTTTTAGTTTGAAAATCTGCATGTTAGTGCTGTCTCTAAAATGAGGAGGGATGTATTTTATTCATGAGACTTCCAAGAGTTTCTGCAATTTAAATCTGTGTTTGCATGCACTTGATTGTGAACAATAGAGAACAGCTTGCTACCATTTTACTCTTCATGAATTTAAAGAATAGTAAAAAGTAACACTTTACCTTTCAGGTTATTCAATCGGTGTTTTTTCTGAGCACTCTTTTTTAACTGTCATTTTCTTTATTCTTTTATGAACATTCAGAATGCAAACTACTCTTTCTTAGTAGTGGGAAATACATAAATATATACACACAGACTTTGTTCATGACGATTGTTATCTTACATTATGTTTAAAAATATAAACAGTAGGGCAATTTCACACCACAATATAAATCACCAGCGAATCAATAAAAATTCTTACAGAATAGCTCCAGTCTCTATGATCACTGACATTTGGGCCATATTAAAGGTCACCTTTTGAAACAACCAGAGAATTAGTCATGAGTTCTATATCATGTTTTGATTAAGTCAAAGATAGAAAGAATCTGCATACAATTTAAACAAAAACTAATCCTTTGATAGAGCAGATAGTATAAGTTGGTTATGTGGTTTAAATAAACTAATATTTGTAAGGCATTGAGCATAGTGCCGGGCACATGGCGAGTTTTCTCTAAAAAGCAGATACCATCATTTTGAGAGGTTCCCCATTTGACCTTTTCCAATTACATAACAGTCTTTTCCTCTAGTCTTAGTAGATGGCTTGTTTAAAAAAAAATCAATGTTTTTTCAATTTTATAAGAAAGAACACTTAGCTCAAATTAACAATAAAAGGAAATATAAAAGCAAAGCTGGAGGCAGAAGGTGCAGTTAAAAAAAAAAAAAAAAAGAGAGGCAGTGGAAATGGAAGAGAAGAATCACTGACTAATGTCCCAGCTCTACCACTAACTGCCTGTACTATTTTTTAAAAGCTTTCCTTAACTTCCCTGGGCCTTACTCTCCTCATCTATAAATGAAGTCAATGGATTAGATTATGTTATGTCTTTCCATGGTCTAACAATAATTCTCAAATTGATACTTTATTTTCCCCAAATAGAAAAAAAAATTTTAACTACTTTATAAAGATTAAAATTACTTTTCTCTAAGCCATTGGCAAATTCAAATTATTGACTCCACTCTTTATTTAATGAATTTCCCATACAGAATTGTATGTCTATACATATACAGGTAGCTTTATATATAATCAAACATACAATGTTTATTTTTCTAAATATATTTTTATTGATTTTAGAGAGGAAGGGAGAGGAGAGAGAGATAGAAACATCAGTGGTGAGCAGACCTGGCTGCTCAGGTGTGTGTTGTAGGACTGAGAAGGACTTCCAATTCTTTACTGAAGACTTCTAAGAGGCAGTTAACTATGGGGATTACAATAGGACAAGCCATTGATCTGCTGCCTCCTGCATGCCCCTCCCCGCCTGGGGATTGAGCCTGCAAACTGGGCATCCAAACTGGGCATGTGCTCTGACTGAGAATTGAACCATGACCTCCCAGTTCATAGGTCAATGCTCAACCACTGAGCCATGCCACCTGGGCCAGACACACAATGTAAACATTGGTTTGCACAGATTAACCTATTTTTAAAGTCTAGTCATGATAAATTTTCCAAAATCAATTTAATCTTAAATTATAAATATTCATGCTACACATAAATATTCATTCTCATTTATACCTTCAAAAGTTCCAAAATAAATTTGAGTTGTTTTGTTAAAACTACTGTACAATCATTAAATAATAATAATGGTAATGAAATGTATTAGAAAACTGGGGTTAAGAATAAATAGCAATTGCCCTATCTAAACTCCAGAAAAATAAAAGTGGTTCTTATATGTGGGACATTGAATAAGATAATGGAAAATATTTTCAATAACAATAAAAAAATAGAATGCAGAAATTTTCTCGTACATCAATTGTATCAATGCTCAGCAAATACAGGGAGCATATTAAATTATATTTTCATAAAGGAGTTCCATTGAGGAACTAGAGTAAGGTTTTAAAAATGTAGTTTCAGATGCCATTAGTAGAATAAATGATTAGAAGTTGGCAAAAATTGAGTAACAAAAAGTTTTATATTGAGGTCTCTGGCAAGTACCTGAAGTGCCAGTTATGGTTTCTTATTGATTGAAAGAAAGTCATGTGAATTAGATCCTGGGCCTATCCACAGTAAATTTCACATTTTGTTATCAAAAGTAACCAACATTTGCTCTTGCCTGGATAAAGAGGAAACAATATCTGCAGGCTGATCTAAGAAATTTCTTATGAAACAAATTTGAATCTGTTAGCAATTGTTTTAAAAGGTGTTTTGAAGATGCCCAGTTTTTTTCCAGCATAAAGCCTATGAGAAAAACTACAATTTGATATCACAGTGATAACAATTACATATTTTTTAATTTAGAGCATGCTTAACTATTATCTTTTTTATATAATATTGACTGATGTCTCATTCCTAAAAAGTAATGTTTCAGTTGCACAATATACCTGTCATTAAAATGAAGACATGATATAAACTGAAAAAAATCTTAAAATCTTAGAACATATCCAAAACTACAATATTTCTTAATATCACTATTTTAGAGAACTTAATAGTCATTAAGTCATCCAACAATAGAGTATTTTCTTATCAGAAATAGAAGCCAAAAGGGATATGCTTTTTATCTAGCAAATTCTTTCTATTTAATTATTTTTCCCCCTTTTATATTTGCTCCTGGGTCTTCTGTTGCAATTTTCTCATGTCAAACAAAATATAATCTTCATAATTGCAGTAAGAGAGAAAAGATAATTCTGTAGAGGGAAATCATTCAAAGCAGAAGGACTAAAATTACCCGTCTTAATTAGTTTTATATTTCTATTGGGTAAAGGAATGGCTGTTTGGGAGCTGAAATTATGTGTTCAGCTCCTTGGGGAGCAATAATGTGTTTGGGAAGGGACAAGAGAAGAAACAAAATAAAGTATTGGTTTTCAGCTAAACTTGCTGTGTAGATTTCAATAAAATAAGAAAGAGTAATAAGGACCATTGGCTTGCTAATGGTCATGAAATTACATTCAGTCATAACTCTACTTCTAAAACTCACCTGGAAGAAGTGTGCAGGGATACTCTTAGACCTGGACACCCCGTGGAGATCTGTTGCTTCAAATCGCACAAACTGAAGGTGATTTTTGGCCATCTCTTTTTTAATGTGCTTCATTCTAGAGGAGAGTTGAGGTACCTTCAGAATTTGTGTGCTGTCCCCAGTGTCATCTGTAAAACAGAGAATGGTTCTAAAGCATTAGACCATGATGAAATGAGAAGCAAAAGGAGGCTGGATAGCAGTGGATTATTCTTTATGATTATTAACTATGACATTCGTGTCATTGGCTTAGAGCTAGAAATTTTACCTTTCTTACTTGACCTTACGTATTCCCAAGAACATTGTCTCTAAAGGGCCTAGGAGATTGTTTATCACTTGGGACTAGGTGAAAGTTAACATCATTTGCATAAGTACATAGCAATATCATATGTAAATACTTACTGAAAATGCCTTTGCTTATGGAAATTAGAATATATTTGCATAATTAGACAGCTTTGGCATCATATAAATCTGTATATAGATGACTACCATTGAAAAGAAAACACTTTGAGCTCCTTGAACTGGTAATATCTAAATTAAAAGTTGTGGGGTTGTTTTGTTTTGTTCTGTTCTGTTTGCTAAAAGGGCTTTATATCTTTAAAATGTCATCTGAATCTAAGGCATCTACATCTTTCTGTCAAATTTAAAATTTGTGTCAATAAGCAAACAAAATAATTTTTCAAGAATGAGAGTGTAGGAGATGAAAGATCTAGACCGAGTACTCAATTTTAACATTAGAAACCTAGAGCAACCAGAAAACAAAAGATGGAATGACAAAAGGGGTATAGGCAGACCCCCGATACCAATAAATCACTAAAATTAGAAGCCAAAAAAGTTTTTTGTTCTTTTCAAGACGTTTAAAATAGTCTTCAAATTCTAAAACTTTACAATTAGAAGAGACTTTGGAGGATAAATAATCTAATCCAATCACATCATTAGCTTGAGTCCTAGAGAGGTACGAGGTGTCCCAAATCACACTCTCAGTTCATTGCCAAAATTGAAACCAAAATCTGAACCTTTGGTTTCCAGTGGGTAACTCATCACCATAAAATGACTGAATATTAATGTTATGCTGATGAGTTATAAAGCACATAGAACTCATAGTACTCATCACAAATGTTATCTACCGTCTGCACCTTTGGAGAGGTGGCAGACTATAGGGATTCAGCACAAACACTGGAGACCATCTGCCAACCTCCAAATCCTACCTTTACCCCAAAGACTTATACTCTCTGTGCCTCAGCATTCTCATTGATACAATACACCTATAGGCTTGTTATGACGATTAAAGCCTATAGCACAGGCTTGTTATGACAAGTTATTTAACAGTTCCTGGAAGACAGTAAACACCATATCAGTGCTTCTTAAATGCAAACAGTGAGCACCATTACTGTAAGTCTAGTAATGGTACTATGATCATATGTAAATTGAATACCCATCAATCTGTCACATCCCTGACAGTGTGCAGCTTTAATTTTAAAGTGATACCTGAGTATCCTTTTTGACATATAATTAGGCTTTAAAAATAAGCATAAAGATGGACAGTTTAAAATATAGATTAAGTAGATTTAAAGTACATGAAGCATGAGGAAAACAAATTACTGGTTTCACCTATGCAAATATATTAGAGATAATGTCCTGTTACTGATACATTTGGCTACACTGAGATTCCTGAGGGTTTATTACTACCTTCCATTTAACACAAACAATTAAGCTGTAGCAATTACAGTATTTCATGCTAAATTAGCAGTTGCTGTGTTCCCAACCTATTCTGAATTATTGGGTATTCGGCCCAAGTTAAATAATTCTCCTTAAAGAAAAGAAAATTTATAAGCATGTTAAAATATGGAAATTTTCAGATAATCGGTATTCTAAACATCATGAGCAATTACATATAAGCTACAACATTTTTTGTTGTTTTTTAATTTATCTTTATTGTTGAAAGTATTAGAGATGTGCCCCTTTTTTCCTTCATTTTTCCCCAATGACCCCTCCTTCTCCCCACTCCCATATTTTAACAACATAAAAAGTTAGAATGTCAGATTACAGGTAATCCTATTAGTCTTTTACCTTATCTGTATCTTCTAAGTTTCTACAATAAATATGTGTTATTTTAAAAAAAGAAAAATATTGATCCACTCGCCAGAACCGGTTTGGCTCAGTGGATAGAGCGTCGGCCTGCGGACTGAAAGGTCCCAGGTTCGATTCCGGTCAAGGGCATGTACCTGGGTTGCGGGCACATCCCCAGTGGGAGGTGTGCAGGAGGCAGCTGATCGATGTTTCTCTCTCATCGATGTTTCTAACTCTCTATCTCTCTCCCTTCCTCTCTGTAAAAAATCAATAAAATATAAAAAAAAAAAAAAAAAAAAAAAAAAAAATATTGATCCACTCAAGATAGATTTTTTTTTTGAGTTACCACTACTATTTATTCTGGACATAGTCTAGGGAGTTGCAGAAAAATCCCTGCCCTCATACAGCTTTATATTATTGAATGAGGGAACTGTAGACAATAAACATGCCATTGAATGCAAAGCTGAGATAATTTGTGGTGAAAATGAATAAAACATAATCACCTAGAATGTTAATTCTATGGGATTTGATCACAATGAGCACAGGTCCAACCATTGATTTGGTTTAAGATCACCAAGTTTCTCTATGGCTGGATTGTGAGTATATGTATTAGTTTGCTAGGGCTGCCATAACAAATACCAGGTATCTTTAATAGAAATTTATTTTTTACAGCTCTAGAGAGTAAAGGTCCAAGGTCAAGGTGTCAGGATGGTTGGTTTCTTCTGAAGATCTCTTTCCTTGGCTTACAGATGTAAGACCATGTGTCCTCTTTACATGGTCTTCCCTCTATGTGTGTGTGTGTGTCCTCATCCTTATAAGGACACAGTCATACTGGACACCAGTCATATTGGACGTAGGGGAGACCCTACACAACTCACTCAACATTAATTACCTCTTTTAAAATCCCATACCAAGTAGTCACATTATGAGGTACTAGGGGCTTGGACTTCAACATCTGAATTTTGGGGAGATTCAATTTATTCCATAACAAATTTGATCTAGTTTCATTCAGAGTCCTCATCACCACCTGCATATTGTATGACACATGTTACTGTCTGTCTTTCCCACTTGCATGTCAGCTCCAAGAAACCAGGGGCTGAGGTTTACTTGCTGCTGTAACCCTAGTACCTGTAGCAGTACAGGCATATCATAGGCACTGGATGGCTTTCATAAGCAGGTGTGTGAGTCAATTATTTCATTCATTCATTCATCAATACATGATGTGTGATTTGACCTTGTCTAATTAAGAAGCAAAAATTGACATCACATATTTTGGCATGTTTCCTAAGTATCCATTTTTCATTTGAAAGTTCATTTCTTTCACCAACTATGAGAACCCTATCCAATCTAATTTCATTTTCAAGGCAGTAACTAATCTCGCTGCATCATTGTCTGAATTTCTTTTCTTCAAATAAATCATACTTGTTAGTTACAATTAAACCTTTTGGTCAGCCCTTCCCAGATGCCCATGATGAATAGCAGGCAGATAATTGCCAGTTCAGGGTCTCATTTGTTTTTCTTACAGTGTGGTTCCTGGGAGGCGTTCTCCTTTTCCATCCCCTCAGAGGACTAATAAATTAAATCAGTGTGCTTTTATAGAGGAAGTTTTACCAGTGTGAATGTTTAGGGGGAAGAAATCAGAAAATACATACAAAAAAACATAAAACCTCCAAGCTCTGTCGCAACTAGAAGGCTGTGTTCAGTGACAACAAGGACATAGTTCAGTTGTAGTGAGCAAGCCATAGTCACTTATAAAAGGCAGATTAGCTAGGCATGTGGGCTTTCAGAAATACTAATTCAGAAAGTGCACTCTATAAGCATTCAGCTTATGGAACGCCGGGGATAATCTGCCACGCTCCCTTCCCAGGGCCTGCTCCTCTGTATCCACATGTCCCCTCTGAGAGCCACCCTGCTAGTGCAAATGTACCCCACCCTCGTGCTAGCCCCGCAGTGTTGGAAAGCCCAGGTGGCAGAATAACCTGGTACAAAGCAGGGACAGAAACAATAAAATGTAGAAATGTGGGTGGGGGAGAGGGAGGAACTTTTCGTATACATATGGAAATTCAGAGTAAGTATAATAGAGAAGAAAATACAACGTTGAAATTCTTTGCACTTATTTGGGGGGTTATTTTTTATGTTTAATTTTAAATTAATTTAATTTTAAATTAATTTAAAATACACATGAATGTGTTTTGTTTGGGTTTGTAAACTTTTTGGTGCTTAGGGCTTTAAAAAACTTCATCCTGCCCTGGGCCAGAGAGGGAGCTTCTGAATTAACTAAATTGAGTCAATCATGGTACCCAAGCACCTAGCTGATTTGTGCAGAGACAGCTCATGACACAAATTCTTTCCTCAGATTTTTTGACTTGAGACTAAGCAATGGAAAATTCCATCTCCCTGTTTTGGCTGAAGGTTACAAATTGCTTGTGGAAGAGCCCGAATGTGGCTGGCAGATGTTTTCGAATTAGTCTTCCCAATGTTTGAAAAATATTTTGAATGAGTTGCCACTCAAATATCAGAAAATTTCATATAAAAATTTTGAGCTCAGGCTTCTCTTGCTAAAACTAGATTTGAAATACTAGATGGATATGTCTTCATAGCAACCATTGGCTGGAGCTCTGAGGTAGCCTGGAATGGTGCATGCATGCTCTAATTCATGGATTGACAAATACCTTCTATAAAGGGCCAGATAGCAAATATTTACAACTTTGCAGGCCAAATGGTATCCAACTACTCAACTATGCCATTGTAGCACAAAAACAGCCACAGACAATACAAAAAGATTCTTTACAAAAACCAGCAGCTCTCAAGCTAATTTGGCCGGTGGGCTATCATTTGTCACACTCTACTCTAGTTTCTCACAGCCAGCACCACTTCCTGTTTTTTTATACCAGACCACCTCATGCATTTGTATTATTTACCTGGCCTCTGTACCACTTGTGTTGATAACCCCTGATGGTTAGGGGCTGTCAGTGCTCATGCTTTTCATGGAGAAATTCATGGAACCAAAAAGCACAGAGAAATGCAAAGATGAGAGATAGTGTGATAGGCCTCCCAAAGACTTTCAGACTCTAAACCCTGGAACGTGTAGATTACATCAAACTGTATGGCAGACTGGACTTTGCAGATGTTATTAAGGTTATGTACAAACCTTAAAAATTAATATTATTATGGATTATCCATGTTGGCCCTTAAAGGCAGAGAACTTTCTCTAATTGTAGGCAGAAAAAAAATATATTATTTTGCGGAAGAAGGGGAATTCAGAGAGATTCCAAACACGAGGAGGATTTGAGGCATTGCTAACTGAGAGATATAGAAACAGAGAGAGGAGCTAAGAGCCACCCCAGTTGGCAGCCAGCAAGGAAATAGGAACCTCAGTCCTGCAACTGTAAGGAACTGGATTCTCCCAACAACCTCAATGAACAGCAAGTGGATAGTCCCTGGAGTCTCTGGCTAAGAAGCTAGATGTCCAACACTCTGATTTTGACCTTGCAAAACCTGTAAAAGAGAAACCAGCTCAGCCAACCCAGACTTGTGACATACAGAAGTCTGAGATAACAAATTGTGTTCTTTCAAGATGCTAAGTTTGTGGTAATTTGTTATGCTGGCAATAGAAAACTAATGTATATGGAGTCCTGATAGCGTTCACTTCCAGGCTCTACTTCCTCCTCAGGCCCTATGTGTAGTAAAGAATTTCCCCTTGCCCAAGGAGAGCACTGGCCTTTACCTTTGGTCCCTGGGAAGTCATCTCTAAGCTTTCGGAATTTCCTGCCTGACAAGAATAGTTTACCGGGAGCTTCTGGCCCCACTAGAATATCTAGCAATGTCATTTATTGTTGAGTCATGTGGCATCAGCTTGACCCTCAGCGGGACTGAAGACTCAGGTCAGTCACACGGCCAGTTGGCTGTGGAACCCCAATAAAGGTTCTGGGCATCAAGACTCAGGTGAGCATCCCTGGTTACAACACTCACACATTGTTGCCAAGAGAATAGTGTTGTCCATGACTCCACTGGGAGAAGGCAAGTGGAAGCTCTATGCTCAGAACTTTCCTGCACTCCCCCCATGAGTTACTTCTCTTGGCTTATTTTAACCTGTATTCTTTCACAATAATAAACCATAACCTTGAGGATAATCACTTTCAGTGAGTTCTGTGAGTCCTTATAGTGAATTATCAAAACTAATTTGGGGGAATTCCCAAATATGCAATTAGTGTCAGAAGTAAGCGTTGTTTGGTGGATACTGTACCTCTAACGTCACAAACTGCTATTTTCTTACTTTCCAAACCTGTTTGTTCAATCCTTTCAACATTGATTCCCTCGTGGGGAGAAAAGATACCTCTTTTTAACTAGTTTCTGTCATTTGGATCTCAGAGATTTTTAACCAATACATTCATAGTCTGAATTAGCCATATCACTATTAGTAAGCCATAAATTTAGAATAACAGAATATCACTTTTAGAAGACTTGAGAGATCATCCATTACAACCTTTCCATTTTCTAGATGAGCAGCCTTGTGTGTAAAGAAAACTGTAAAGCACTTTTATCAATGATAGCTGTATAAAATTATTTTAAGTATTTCTGACTCCCAGGGATAGCGTTCCTCAACCAACATCACATTATCTCTAATTCACATACACATTTAGGACTAGTGGCTGGAGCTATATACCAGTTTTGTCCCAGAGTCCTTACCAGTACAGCTGGAGTCTGGGTTGAATTCATTACCAGGAGCCCTGGCTGATGTTTTGAGGGGTGAGGGTTTCATTTCTGCTGTATGATCCTGGGAGTCCTTGTCATCTTGCGGATGCGATTCATCAGAGCCAGTTCCCACAGCTGGGTTGCTCGTATCCCCTAATGTGTGACACACCATTTGTTCTTTGATCCTTTCTGTAGTCATACAGAAAAATGTTAAGGGATGTTGCCATTGTTTTCAGCTGTCTTCCAATGTGATATGGAGAGAAATGCTTGAGGAAATAATTTATTCCTAGGCGGTAAAATGCCAAATAAAAGGCAGTGAGCATAGTACACCCTGGTTGCAGGCCATAAGGGGGTGCAATGTCTCTAGATAATTTAAAAATAATTTTAAAAATCTATAAAAAGTCTGACTGCTTTTGATTGCTGCCATGCACTGCCCTTTCCTACTGACCTGCCTTGGAAAACACCACTGTTCCTAGAATGGAGTCTGTTGTCCAATTTAACTCCTAGGTTCAGCACTGTTTCAGGCCCATTAGAGTCTAGTTGGAATTCCAACATGTGGTATGAAAACGTGCCCCCACCTTTATTGTGGCCTCCCAAATCTTCAGTAATGATCTTTGTGCTCATTCTCAGAACAGAAATGTGCTTCTTTTCTTATGTGTTGCTTCTTTTATATTCTCTCTTTTTTTCCCACTGTATCTCCTCATTCTTCCCCCTTTAAATTCTGAATATTTTGGCTGATTGTTTTTATATATTTACATTGTAACCCTGTATTTACCATCTTTTATGTTGACTTTGTACAAATAAATTTCATTTGTTTTTGCTTCTTCCATAGAAGAAAAGCAAATGTATTATGAAAATGTGGACCAAATAGAGATTGTCATTGATGACGTATTCTTGAGAGATAATGGTAGCAAGATATTTGAGATTAAGTGTCTCATGCTCTTAGCTGAGCAGTTGTACAAACTACCTTTTGAGATGGACATATCCATTTCTCCTATTTCAGTTGAAGAAATATGTGATTTAGTGACTTTCTTTCTTGTCCTTCTTAATTTACTCATCCTGCTGCCTTCCGTCTCATTACATTCATCTCTTGAATCCTGTAATAGTTAATAAACAAAAAGTCCAATAACAGGTCATGCACACAACCAAATTTGGTTGTCAAGAAAGTATGATGATTGGAGAGCTAAATTTTAAAATTAATATAGGAGACTTTTATAATGAGGTAAATTTTGTCATTTCCACATCCAATTGAATAACTTAAAATTACAAAGCCCAACATTCTGCTGACAAGCTGGATATTCTATATCACCTTACATATGTGGTTTGGGAAATATCATGAAATAAATTAAGATCTTGTCCAACTAGTCAAGATTTCTATTCTTACTTTATACTCTGGGGTATTTTACATTATTTATTCCTAAATAATTTTGCCAAAGGCATTTCAGCCCAAAAGTCTTCTTTTTTAGCATCTCTAATGTCTTTGACCAGAGGCATAAGTACCTGAGATTTGATTCTCTTCTCTTTTTTTTCTTACCTCAAACTTATTGCATCAAAATTTACTTCAAAAAAGCACTTCATGAAATGCTATTCTGTAACTGTGTTTTACAGTGTAAAACTGTCATCCCTAAACTGTCGTATAGCTTGATATGTAAAGAAAAACATTTTTAAACAAAATACCCAAACCTCCTACACTCCAGTTACAATCTTTGCAAGGATCCCTTGATAGACTTGACACGGCCTATTTCCAGCAGGGGCTAGAGGTGAAGAGCTTCAGGGCCTCCATACCAGCAGCGGACAGAATCACCCCTGAGTCCCAGGACACAAAAACCAACACTAAAACAAACAAAAATTGAAGTGTTGTGCTTTTTTAAGCTGACACTGGTATGTTTGATGTTGTTATACAAAAGCATTATGGTTTCAGAGGCAAGAAAAGTGGCAGAGTCAGGGTCAAAAACTACATTCTAAAATGTTTTAAGCTATTGTCTTTTTTGAAGAGCATGTCCTGAGAAGTTTCATATCTGGGGGCGAGTTATATAAATACATGACCAGAGTCGCTGCTGAGGCACAGTTGTCCCCATTTATCAATAAAGCCAAGGCAAGTCAGCTTCTGGAGACTAAAAGAGGGGGTACAATTTTTACTTTTGTAACATTCACCTGTCTTCAGATAATCCGGACCAAAAAGAAAAGATTCTTAAGAAAACAACAAAGACCATTCACCTAGTAACTAACCTGCGAATTGCACCAGCAAAATCCCAAGAACTAAGTCATAGGACATGCCTCTAACTCCATAATAGATGTTCAAATCAAAAGTTTTTATCAAATGAAGAATACCTTTAGTTCAGTCTTTTGACTTTCTCTTCTATACTAGGATAATCAGAGTATAGGCATAGCTATAATAACTGAAACAAATTTAGGGGAATCCCTGGTTTATCTTGCCTCCAGTGGAGTATTTTTATTCTCCTTAATCTTTCAATTACAGTCAGCTACAATATGAATGAAGTTTCATTAAAAAACCTATGAGCCAGGATTCATGTGGTTTGGGTTCTAATTCTGACTTTTCAACTATGTAGCAAGTCCTTCTGGAGCCTTTGTATTTTCATCTAGAATCACCACCATAAAAACAATCATACAAAGCAAGTATATTAACATTTTATAAGCATTTCATAACCAGACAATATTATGTCTCATTTAGTACTTACAAAACATGCAGAGAACATTTGCTATTACCTATACTTTTGCCAAGGCAGAAATAGGTCCGCAGGAGTTAAGTGATTTGTTCAAGGTCATATAACTGCCAAGGAAGAATGGGAATTATTTAAGGAACTTCCCACATCACCACAGCCTGACAGTTGAACTAGATGGAGTTCCAATTCTAATATTATCTGTGTGACTCATAAAAACTTGTTCACTCAACTTCCTCAATTATATGTTCTTTTACAGTTGTATTTTTGTTGTTGTTGTTGTTTTTACTAGCTGTGCTAATGGTTAAATATTCCAACCAACATCTCTCAATACCATTCTAGATACCACTGCTGGGGAAAAAGTAGGGTCATTACAGCTATCACTCTAACCAGGGGCCCTCTAGTATGAAAACGTGCCCCCATCTTTATTGTGGCCTCCCAAATCTGCATACTCTGAGCAGCATTCCAGTCTTTTTGAGATCATCTATGTGGTAATTGAGAAACTTTCTTTTCTTCTTTACTCTCTACTTTATACTTTAATTGCCAATATTTAAGAATTATAAAATTTAACATAAAAATCCAGATTTCTGGCATTCTTTGGAGATTTGGAAAACTAGTATCACTGGGGCCACATTTTGTTATGGCATTGACTGGCTAGAGCCACATGTTGGCTCCTTCTTGGAAAGGGGTGTCAGCTCTGGTGTTCACCATCTAGCCCATGGTGTCTCTTCGTTATCTGCCTGGAATTTGAGTTTGCTATCCCTGAACAACCTGAATCACTTTCTTTACCACATGGAAGCCTTCAATTCCATCACAGTACTTTATTGTAAGACTAGAGGCCTGATGCACGAATTCGTGCACCAGTGGGGTCCCTCGGCCTGACCTGTGGGATCAGGCTGAAATCGGCTCTCCAACATCCCCCGAGCGGTCCTGGATTGCGAGAGGGTGCATGCCAGGTCGAGGGACCCCACGGATGCATGATCGGGGCCAGGGAGGGACACGAGAGGTTGGCCAGCCCGGGAGGGACTGTGGGAGGGCTCCAGGGCATGTCTGGCACATCTTGCCGGCCGGACCACAGCAGCAAGCTAACCTACCAGTTGGAGCATCTGCCCCCTGGTGGTCAGTGCACATCATAGTGACTGGTCGACCAGTCAACTGTCTGCCCCCTGGAGGTCAGTGCACATCATAGCGAGCGGTTGAATGGTCTTAGCATATCATTAGTATATTACACTTTGATTGGTTGAACAGATGGCCAGATGACTGGTCACTTAGCATATTAGGCTTTTATATAGGATTCTTCATGAAAGGGATTATGTTTTATTTGTTTTTATGTCTTTGCTTTTGCCTCATCCATATCAGGTTATCCATAGTCCTCATTATTTGGGTTGATAAAATTTAAGCTGGTGGGGAGTTAAGATGGTTTTAATCCTTCTACAAGAAAGAGTTATAAAAAAAATACAATTGTAGCCCTGGCCAGATTGGCTCACTGGATAGAGCGTCAGCCCTCGGACTGAAGGGTCCTGGCTTCAATTCTGGTCAAGGGCACATACCTCGGTTGCATGTTCAATCCAGGCCCTGATTGGGGAGCATGCAGGAGGCAACCAATTGATGTGTCTCTCTCACATCAATGTTTCTCTCTTTCTGTCTCTCCCCCTCCCTTACACTCCCTCTAAAAATCAATGGAAAAATATCCTCAGGTGATAACACTTTTATTATACCTACTATGAGTCAAGTCTCCTCTAAATGCTCTGTATATATTGATGCATTTAATTTCAAAACCATCCCTTGAGATAGATACATTATCATCTCCATTTTAGAGGTGAAGAAAACTGAGTAAAAAAGAAAGATTAATTTACCCCAAATCACATATCTTGTAAGTAGGAGAGTTAGGATTTGAACCCAGGCAGTTGGCACTAGAGCACAAGTACTTAATGCTCCCTAAATGAATACTGTCAGTAAGACTGCCCCTGGGGTGCTGCAGTGCTGGGAGGCTAGAGCAGAATTCAAGAGAGCTCCTGCAGGGCCAGGTGTTAACTCTTTAGTGCATGGATTGTAGACAGGACCAAGGGCCTTAGGGAAACAGTAGGACAGCTAGAGAAGTTTGGAGGGTTTGGGGGGACCGTTTGCAGTTGTTACCTATAAATTTGGAAACGTTTCTCAAGCAGTCAGCAATGCAGTTGCAGCTGACAAATCTTTTGGTTGTATGTTTATGCTGCACAAGCAGTGCCTGGTGCCTAGTAAGTACTAAACAGATGTTAGTCCTGATTGTTATTACCCAGGCACCATGCATTACTGGGCATCTCTATTGGGAGAATACTTTATGTTAGGTTACCTCATGGACCCTTCACTTACAGGAGATGGCTCCCATTGAGTTAGACTCTAATTTATAGATTCTGAACTCAATAAATGACAGGAACCACTCAGGTGAGGTAATGTCAAGTAGTCTAAGGGTTCTCAGAGAGGGAAGTGTGTCCAACATTCTCGTACTTGGACTCTAAATGCTGCTATTCTTAAACAGGCAGGATATTTTATAAATAGAGTCATCAGAAAGCCAGAGAAATGAGGCCAGAAAAGGGGGCACCTGAGCTGAAGATAGAGAAGGATGAAGTAAACCAGGTTGGAGGAACCATGAGCATAAGCCCAGATATTCAGTTTTATTTGATCACATAGCATAAATATGCAAATCTGATTCATGCTTAATGTAGATGATCTCAAAATTCTACAACAGGTTGATTCTGATTTCTTTTGACATTTCCACCAGAGAAGCTTTTCCCACTTCAGAAATGTTTCTGCTATCATTCCATCAGATGGCTCCGTTGTCTCATACACAGAAGTGACCTTACAGAATGTTTTCTATTACAAGATATTTTCATAATTCATGTTTTTCTCATCATAGTGTTTCTTTTGAAAGTTGCTTATATGGGTTAATACAGTGATGGCGAACCTATTAAGCTCAGCGTGTCAGCATTTTGAAAAACCCTAACTTAACTCTGGTGCCGTGTCACATATAGAAATGTTTTGATATTTGCAACCATAGTAAAACAAAGACTTATATTTTTGATATTTATTTTATATATTTAAATGCCATTTAACAAAGAAAAATCAACCAAAAAAATGAGTTCGCATGTCACCTCTGACACGCATGTCATAGGTTCCCCATCACTGGGTTAATATAAGGTTGTCATTTTGCACTTCAAATCCATGGTTTGATCAAATTAACTAAAAGAGGCTTAACCTAAAGGGATTCTGCCAAGCATTAAATATAAACCCTAATTTGACCTAATAAGTTTCCTTTTAATAAAGTAACCAGTGTTCTTTACATTCTAAATATCACTGATTTTATTCATTTACTTTTAATTTTCTCTAACAGTTAACTTTTTAATGCCAATACTTAAAAAAAAAAACCTTTGTTTTGACCCCTATATACTGGCTATCATCTGAGGTATAATCCTTCATACACTTTGATTTTGTTATAGATAAAGGTGCACAAAAAAGAACGCAAGCCAAGAAAATCTCACAAGTTTTCATCTCTGTTAGAAATAATGGGGGGAAAGGGATCAATGATTATCAAAAGAATGTGTCAAACTGAAAAGAATGTGTCTTCAGTTTTCTTAAAGTATATTCTTCAAAGGAAATGGGAGGAAAATGTACTTAAAATATTCACAGAAGAGATATTTCAAAGAGCATATCATAAACTTGCATCAACTGATCTAAAAGTATCCATGCCTACTAACTCCTATTCTTACTCTGGCAACCTGGTCTGGGAAAATAATTCAAAATATGTAAAGTTACAAGTATGTCCAGTGCACCTCTGTTATAATAGTGAAGACTTGAAAGCAGCATAGATTAAAGTAGGATGAGTTAAATACATTGTGATAATTCTGTTCAGTGAACTCACATTTACTAGTAAAATTGAGTGCTGCCACTTCCCATTTTCTCACCTGGATTAACATAGCCATTACCAAACTGTTCTCCCTACTTTCAGTGTGCCCATTCTGCTATCCTCTAGACTACTTCCTGAGTTACTGCTCTAAATCACAATTTTGGTCTTGTTATTTCTTTGCTTAGAACAATTTCCCAGCACCTTCTGGAAAAATTCGAATTAGTATTACCTGAGATGCTGCATAACCCAGCCTCACCAATCTCTCCGGGCTCCATAACTGGTCATTTTCACCCACAAACTCTATCTCCATCTTGACAAAACTGGTTTTATCATTTCTGTGGCCAACATTGTTTCCTTCTTGCCCAGGCTATTTTTGATTATCTACTCTTCTGGCCACCCCTCAAAATTAACCCAACTCTCTGGACAATTTGGTATAGCCACCCTATTTGAAGATGATTAATTTTCTTAAATCCCCAGTGAAAGTAGATTTCTTATTAAGCTTTGTAGCCTGTTCAAATAAATCATAATTATTGTCTTTTTCATCACAATTGGTAAACTGTTTAGTCTCCTATTAGAAATTTCATTTAGTGCTTTGTAAAATAATTATCCATATAATTAAAGTAGCTTTCTTTCATCTACATACTTTTTTCTCCAAATCAAAAGCCAATGATTAGTTTAACTCAAGTATTGTGATTCCTTAAATACCATGTGTATACTTAGGTGCCCCTTCTAGAGGTAAGAAACACTGCAGCAATAAAACAAGGAACTAGGTAGGATTCCCAATATCCACTAGGGCAAAAAAAATGAAGATATTTCAGATATTTGCGAGGTAGATTTGGCGGTTTGGTGCTTCACTAGATACAAAACTTTACTATATCTTCCTCTCTAAGAGAAAGAAAAGAAGAATGTTAGAAAAAAGAGGAAGGAAGATGAAAAGTAAGGAGGAAGAGGGGAATTAGGAAAAAGGAAATTGTCAACATTAAATGATCACTTTTCAAATGACATAACTGAGCCTCAGGAAGATTAAGGTCACTTAAGTGGTGGACAAGAAAGGTAGACACTTCTGGAGCCTTCAATTCCGTCTTTCAGGTGGAAAAGCCTCTGACAGTAGGGATATGGAAAACTAAAGTTTTTAAGGAGGATGGAACTGGCTTGACATAGTCATAGCAGAGAATGAGAAAGAGCCAACTCAAGAAACAAAAATGTTGAGTGTCCCACAGGAACTGGAGACTTTAAAGTTGTGGTGGCACCAATCCGCACCACACAGGTAAGTAATTTTTCTCCAGCAAAGCTCTGTTTGAGGTGTTAAACACACAGGGTTGAGGTTTGTGAGGATACAAACTCAGGAAGACAATGACAAAGTATATTGAAGATATTAGCAACTAAGAGACTAGAATAATAAAATAAGAAATCCAAGATAGATGGACTAGGAAGTGAAATCAGGAAAGACTGACAGGGCAAACCTAGTCAACGGACTGGAGATTTCTGAAAGGTGGCATTTTAAATGTACCCTTGTGCTTAATCTATTGCCTAGAATAAAATGGAAATTTAATATTTTCTTTTTTTAATATTTTTATTGATTTCAGAGAAGAAAGGAGAGGGAGAGAGATAGAAACATCAATGATGAGAAAGAATCACTGATTGGCTGCCTCCTGCACACCCCTTACTGGGGTTTGAGCCCACAACCCAGGCATGTGCCCTTGACCAGAATTGAACCTGAAACCCTTTAGTCCACAGGCCAACGCTCTACCCACTGAGCCAAACCAGCTAGGGCTAATATTTTCTAATGAATGACTGGCAACTAAACCCTACCATGTTGGAATACAAAGTCAGAAGGGACATTTGACTCTGATCTCTCTTTCAGAAATGATTCCAAATGAGATTTCTTTGGCTGTCCAATAGGATCTGATGATAACCCAATAGGCTAATGTAATCAAAACAACTTTCCTAGAGAAAATATTACATGGACGCCTTTGAACTTTTCTCAGGAAAGACTTTTAAAAAGAAAAGTTTCTGCTGATGACAAGCTGCTCCATAACAACTTTGTGTCTTGACCTCATTAATTTCACCTTTCCTTAGTGGCAGGGTGGGGGGAGGGGGTCACTCTATTTATCCTCTAAACCACAACTTATCACCAGGCATATGATTACTTCCTTTAAGACATGGGCAAAATCTTATTTCCTGCATCTCCTCATAGCATAACTAAAACATGCTGATATCTCAAGAGAATTTTCTAAACATTAAGGAATGATATTAAAGAAACATTGAAAAGAACCAATTACAAAATATTTATTCAGTCCTGGCAATTAACTATGTTTGTAGACTCTGATCTATTCCACATCTTACTCAAGACCCTGCCCAAAATATTCTCCTTTTTACATATCTAGTTCACCAGCCAGATAAGTAAACATGATTTGGAGCTTATTTGAAAACATAGAACACTTATTTATGGCCTAGTAAGTGATTCAACCAAACTGTTTCTGCAAAGTCCCTTTAGTCTCATACAAAAATTAGGAAATCTCTGAGATCATTATGCACAAGGACCCAAAAGGCCACCAATTTCCAACTTACAGAAAATGAAGATATTCTTAGGGACCCATTACCCACAGAGCTATTTATCCTGAAAGCTAGACCTTCATCTGTATATTTTTAAAGAATTGTAATCCTTAAAGTCTATTGCATTTTAGGAGGCTCCATCTGAATACATGGAATCTCTGAAGATTTTTGTTGTTCTTTGTTCTTTATTACAAATGTAATAATCCTCATTGAAAAAAATTAAAAGGTACAGAAACTCATAAAGTAAAATGGAAAACTAAAAATAAAATAATAAAAGTTCTTTATTTTCCTATAACCTTTAGGTTTTTGACAAGTAAATATTTTCAGAAAGAGTTGATTCTTATTACTATAAGTAATTCTTATAATGGCTCATTTTCTAATATAAATTCTTGAATAGTTGTTTGTAGTAAATATTTACTGTGTCAATACTGATTGGGACCACACACATTTTAAAATATACCAAAAACAGAAATTGAAGAGAATATTTATAGTACATTCACACCTCTTATTGACAAGTGACTTACTGGGACTACTCTACTTGCATTTATTCAACAAGTGAATACTTAGAATACTAGATGCTTTAGGATAACTAAAGATGAATTACTTGCTGTTTCATGGAACATAATATAATACATAATTTTATTAAAAAGGTGTTAGCATGTGTTATATAAATGATTTTTAAAAAAATAAAAATAAAAAGGTGTGTTAGCATGTGTTGTATAAATGAGGAAGGTACTGCCCGAATCAAGATGCGGTAACTCACCTAATTTCACACCTAGAAAGTACAGAATCCAAACGGATGGTTTGAAACTCTTCTTTCATTTCTTCATGCTACTTACAAACTTTACAGACAACAAAACACTGAAAACTAAAGATGTTACCTTTAGGAATACTAAATGCAGGGCCGTTTTATATAAAATGCAGCAGGAAATGCAACTCCTTTGTCTTTTAACTTTACACTTCAATTTAGCATTCAGTGGAATCTATGTCCTTTGAGGTGAAACTAAGCATACAAGGAAAATACAGATAAAATTCTTGGAAGTTACAGAAAATCAGAATTTTACTAAATATAATGATATTTCAAGAGAATTTTCTAGACATTAAGAAATGAAATTAAAAGGATGGGCTACTTGGAAAAGTGTCATGTTTCTCGTTCTCAAGCACATCTGTGGGTGGGTGAGATAGTCCAATGTCAGGGATCCCAGATAGTTTCCAGTTCTACCACCAGAGACGCCAGCACTTTTACCATAAAATAACCTAGGTCCAAGCTGGGAGATTAGGTGGGACCCTGCTCCACCTATATATCCACATCCATCCGAGAATTATTGAGAAACTATCACTACAAAGAGCCTCTGTGTGAAAGAAGTGCCACATGGTAAATGGTGGGATGGATCCCTCGTCCATCCCAGCAAGATGGTAAAATACACAGTAGCAGCACCAAGCCTAGGGCAAATCCCACCTCTGGGGCAAGGCCATGCAAAGTCTGCCACAGAACATTCTGTATTAGAAAATGTGCCTGACCAGTCGTTTCACAAAAGAGAAAAGATTTATTTTCTACAGATATAGCACCATGTTATTTACATAAGATGAAGCTAAATAACAAAGGATGCTAAAAATTTGGTGAATTCCCTGAGCTTGGTACTAGCCCTGGTCTTATTTAGCATTTTCATTGGTAAATTGAATAATAAATCCTTATATTTTTCAGAGAAATTAAGATTTTGCAGCTAAAATTATATTTATCTTGTATAGAGAGGATCAAAGTGATTTCTGAAAGCTTTGTGGATAGGCAGGAAAGCAACAAATATACTTCAAAGGTAACGAAGACTTGCAAATTTTTTTCTTTTTTTAGTTTCTATTGAATTTATGGGGGTGACACTGGTTAAGATATTGCAGAAATTTTTAAATATACATAAAGTATATAATATATATTTATGAGAATGGGTTCTGTGAAATAAGATCCAAAAACAGAATTGTCGGTAAAGAGATCAACTAATGGGCTGCTCCAGATAGAAATACTGGGCCTCATCAAAAAGAATATTTTAAATACGATGGGAGAAGGCATTCTATCTTTTAAAAATATAATAAGCCCAGAACTAGAATAATAAATATAGTTCCAGCCACTGGACCTTAAGAAAACCTTCATGGGCTATAAAAGAATGGATATGGGTTTATATAAATGTATACCACATATAATTGTTATCATTATTATACCAAAGGCAAATAAAGTTTTGCTATGCAAAGGAAAAAGTGTAAAACTCTTTAAGACTATAAAAATGAAAACTTAGTGGAGATATTACTGGCCAGTCTACAACACAACACACAGGCATTCTGATTTCAGTGAGTAGTCTTTTAACCACTATACATGAAACAGAAACCTATTTTTAACATCGAGAGAGGTACTTGAACTCAAAAAAGGTGGATTTTAAGTAAATAAAAATTAATATGAAATGAACTAAAAACCTTGAGATCTGAAAACAAAACTTTGAATCCTAAGAGACAAAACACATTTACAATATAAAAATAGAATCGGGAAGTTTTTATAGAGTTGCACAGAAAATAGCATAAAGCAGGGAAAGTAGGGTAAGTTGGGGCCATAGCCTCCCACAGAGCTGCATTAGTGCCCTGGCACACAGACAGATACAGGCTGCAGAGCAGGATGGACCTCTGGTCTCACCCCAGGTGGCATCCGTTCCCGCTGCACTGTGGAAGCATCAGCTCTCTGTGTCTACCTGTGCAGGTGTTTTCTGGAGGAGT